CTGCTAGTGCGAGTACGCCCTGAGAAAGGTAAGCAATCCAACAGAGCCCTTGCACCGTTCATTGTCCACGTCTACAAGTACCGGGTCTGTACCGCTGCCGGGACAGTATCGGGTCAGAATCTAAGTGCCCAGGCCCAATAGAGGAGACGAGAGGAGAGGAGGGGTTTCATGGGGAGCAGTACCATACCAACAATTATTTTTTTCAGGGTGGCACTGTAGCTGAAATTGTTACTTTCTGGATTTGCTCCAAGTTCATTTCAAAAAAAAAAAAAAAAAAAAAAAAAAAAAAAAAAAAAGATTTTAGGGTAGTTGAACTGCAACTCGCGGTTTTTTTAAACAGGTCTGGATGGAGTGGTGGTTTGAGCTTTGAACCTCTGCTACCTTTCGAAAATGCAGCCCATTTTGGAAAATAAATTTAAATAATCTATATACCGCATTTTTGGGGGGGTCCTCAAAAAAAAAAAAAAAAAAAAAAATCCTTAAAAAACAAGCCAAAAAAAAAAAAAGCAAGAAACTATAACACTTACCGTGAGAGATAGCATGCTCACATCAGCACTGCCCAGAGTGTGGGCCTCGCCGCACTACTCTCGAAATGCACAAAAGACAAAATTCATGATGGTGTATCTTTCCATCTTCTAGCAGAAGATTCACTCTCGTTTTGCACATTTCGAGAGTAGTGCAGCGACGCCCTGTGTCTTACTGGTATTAGGGCAAGTTACGCATATTGTTCTGTGTGTTGTTTTTTCGTTTTTCTTATAGCGCCCTGCGTGGCCCTGCCTGCGAGGCACAGCGCAATCCACATCCAGCGGTGGGTGCTTCTACATGAGCTTGCTGAAACACTCGCACAGAGGGCATACTCACACTACCCCTTCCGACAATGTACCTAGCTGCTATCCTGTCCAAATCTCTGTTTCATTCCTTCCCCCCTCCTCCCCCCCCCTACTTCTTTTGGATCTGACAATGTCGCTGCAATTCACTAACTCCCAGCATACGCAGAGGCGTACTCCAGTTTGCTTTCACGTACATAGCCATGTGTTTCTTTTCATCTTTTTCTTCTTCTCTTTTCGAATGCTACAAAAAAAAATAAAAAAAAATAAAAAAAAATGCAAGTTTACCAGTGAAAATGGAACGGGATCCAGACTCGGTGGTGG